ATATATATATATATATATATATATATATATATATACTAAAACAGGATGAATCCTTAGTAACATTGGTGTAATAACTAGCGTATCCGTTAGTAGGTGAGAATATATTTTACTACATATTTTTAGTTGTGGTTGTATTTGAATATAATCCTTTAAATACGGACTGATAACTGGTTTCGATTGTTGCGCGCAATGTCAGTTTAACATCTCAGTGTCTGTTCATCTTGTACGAGCCAGGGAGATGTGCGTGCCAACGTGCACAAAGGTCAACGTGGCGCATCATCACGCTATACCGTGCCACCGCTAATCAGATGTGCTGACATCGGCATGTGTACGTGCGTTCGTGTGTGCGTTCGTATGTGTACGTGCGTGCATGTGCGTTCGTATGTGTACGTGCGTGCATGTGCGTTCGTATGTGTACGTGCGTGCATGTGCGTGCGTATCCTCGTACATATGTGGGTACATGCATGCGCGGGTGTGTGTAGATGTTATTTTATTTCCTGCCGCTACTGTAAAAGCGTACACTTGCACTATTTCGCACGGCTATGACAATTCGTTGTCGTTGTCACCACTCGACGAGGAAAATAGTTCGGGGTAAATGTCATTGAAGTTAAATTATCAACGTCTCCCCACTCAATGCTCCGGTTTAAGTCCCATCACCCTACTAAGTGCGCATTCCTATGTGTTTGTGTACCAATGTTCCTTCTCCCACCCTATCACCACCTCATCTTATCTTCCTAGTGGAAGTTTCTAGTGATCGAGCGTGAAGCTACAGTATTCGGATTCATGTGAACAGTTAACAATAATAATAACAGTTAAAATGTGTGTGTGTATATATATATATATATATCGCCGGCGTTATCTCTCTCCTCTGCCACCCCTGCCTTTTCCTACCCCTGTCTTCTGCCACCCCCTTTCCTTTGCTACCCCTACCCTCTGCTACCTCCGTTTTCTTCTACCTTCGTCCTCTGTTACCCCTTCCTCTGCTATCTTTACCCTTACGCTAACCCGTCCTCTGCTACCCCGTCCTCTGCTACCTCCTTCGTTTGCTACCCCGTTCTCTTCTACACACGTCCCCTGCTATCCCCTTCCTCAGCTACCCCGTCCTTTCTTACCCCTCCCCCATTCTCTGCTATCCCTGTCCCCTTCTACTCCATCCTTTTCTTCCCACGTGCTCAGCTATCCCCGCCCTTTGATATCCCCGTCGACCTGCGGTTTCTCTCGCGCCGTTCACGGATGGCTTCAGCCGTGCGCCGCCGGGGGATGCGGCGCTGCCAAGACAACGAGCGGAGCACTGATAGCGAGATTACGGGTGATGAGACAATCAATCCCGCAGCAAATTAGCTGCCAGTTTTGCTTTCTCGCTCGGCTGCTGATCCCGGCGTCCCCCTGCACGCTGCTGCTGCTGCTGCTGCATGCTATGCTCTTCACGTATTAGGGAGGCGACACTATTACGTACAGTGTGTGTGCTCGCATAGTGGCAGAAATCGCAACCACGTACAACTGTAGAAACACAACCATCGTAACAATTGTAATCAGTCTGTAAATAGATAGTACTGTAATGTACTGTAATGTATGTTCTCGCGGAAAAAACAATTAACTAGGGCAGATTTTGTCAAGAGACGGGGAAGAGGGAGGGAGAATGACGGTAGCTGGGGAAGGATATGGGAGGATGGAAGAGGATAGTGAAGTGACGGAGAACGGGGAGGATGAGGGAGTATGCGGGAGCGTGATGGAGCATGGAGAGGGTGGTGAAGAGGACAGCGGATGGGGTTAAATGCTAAAATAAAGCGCTCTATATTAGGCTGCAGTGTAGAAGGTCTATAGCTGAAATCTAATTGATCTCAGATAAACTATAAACAAATAAAAACTAGAAATATATACTATAAAATTATAATATATCTATGAGATGGAGTGAAGGTTTTTGAAACCCGCGCGGCTGCCACTCTGGCGATAATTGTGGGGGAGGGCACATACTAGAACGTAATAAACACGTACTCTGGTGGTCGTGGAATTGTTCATCCGGATTGTCCGTTGATAGTCCGTGTGTGTTCGTATTTAGGTCATGGTTGTCCGTGCCGTCTGTGCCTGTAACGTTGTCGATTTTACAAAGGTCTGCAAATTGATTTTTCCCCGATGCTGTGTAAAGCAGCATTTACGTGTATAGTCCATGTACGTCACCGTAAATAGTAAAACTTAAAAAAAAATCCCACGTTTTCACAAAATGTAAGTAATTATGTTCACTTTTTATTGCTAAATTGCTGCATTATACTTCCTATATTCCTATATTGTTCGATGTAAACACACACTCGTGACTCATATATAGCCCATAGCAAGCAATTAATGTCAGGATAATAATATCAAATCATCCAGGTTTTTTGGATTTTTAACTAGTTGAGAAACAATCTTATCAGGTAAGAATTTGACGATACATTTAGTCCCGTAGTCCTTACTTTTAATGTAAAAAAATGGCAATTTTTTTTTTACAAATATTACCATAGAAAATTCATGACGTAGTCAATTTAATACCTTCGTTTCATTTCATAGCGCGAAGTAATTACATGCGACCTTCCGTCTTTCAGCTAGCGAAAGCAGGCAAGCTGCTCGTGTTTCTGTCGACGCAGGATTCGGTGGACTTCCATTACAAACTCCTCGACGGCATCCTGAACCACAGTGCCGGTGGCGCCACCACGGCATTGCCCGATGACGTCGGCGACACCGATGCCTCAGCCAGCTCCCTCCTACCAAAGATAAGCGAGGATGATGAAGTGAAGTTCTTCAGGCTCCACGGAAGCATGACGCAGATGGTACGAATCACGCTGGTTGGTATGCGGGTGAGGCTGTGTAGTGATCGTAACGAAACGTGCCGGTTGTTGGCGGGGGCGAGGGAAATAATACAGGATTCCTGTAGCTTGTTAGGAAGGATGACACAAACTGGTTTATAGTTATGTTTTATAGCTCTTCAGACCTGAGCGGCACCTGGCCAGCTCCCGCACGGCCGGCTGTTTATATTTATATATGTTATATTATACATATATATATATTACTTGCGGGATACCCGGCGTTGCCCGGGGAAATCAGTGGCGTTACTCAGTGGGTGACCGCTTGGTTGAAAGGAAAATACCAAAAAAAACTATCTATCTATCCATGCATCCATCCATGCATCCATTCATCCATCCCATTCCATGCCATCCCATCTCATCCCATCGCACCGCATCCCATCCCATCCTATCCAATCCCATCCTATCCCATCCCATCCCATCCCATCCCATCCCATATCCCATCCCATCCCATGCCATGTCATCCCATGCCATCCCATGCCATCCCATGCCAACCCATCCCATCCCAAACAGTAAAAAATAATAAGAAATCAAAAGATAAAAGACATTAAAAATAAAAATAATTAATCAATTAAAAAATTAAAAATAATACATACTAAAGAGGTAGGTAAAAGGGAAAAAGGAAAAAAGGGGCAAATATGTTCCCTAGCTGGGACTCGAACCCGGAATCCCGGTGTAGGAGACGGATGTTCTAGCGATTACGCCACTGCATCGTTAAGGGTATGCACAATGGATTCACACGTACGTGATGTTTAATCTGTACGCACCGCCATCTATTGATGAATAGAATTTTTATCTATTTTTTATTTTTTAACTTAAAAAAAAAATATTTGTATAGGAACACTCCCCGGGTATAGGAATTCACCCTCTGAAAATTGCATCCAGATCGCTTGGGCGGTTTGGCCGGGCATAGGGTACATACATACATACATACATATACATACATACGAACTGAAATATAGATTAGATATGTGTTATATATGGTGTGTGGTGTGATACGTCATTATGACACTGTTGATGAATCAGTGGCACGTTTTTAATAGGGTGAAGCGTGTCTTTGTGAAATCTGCGCGCGTTAAAAACCGAGCTGGATCGGTGCATGGAGGAAATCTAACTAGTTTATGGAGCCCTAATAAATGTCGCTTGGCGATATAGACATAAGCGGTTATATTTCAGCGGGTTAGAAGCCTTATAGTCTTGTACATGCGGGATGCATCCAGGCAGAATGCTAGCTAACGTACTGGATAGCATGTAGGCGCCAGTTCGTGTGATGAGTACAACTGACAGAAGCCTATAGTGTAAAATAAGTGTGCATCGATCAGTAAAAATCAACGCAGTAAGAGAAAATGTGGACCAACCCGATCGCAGTAGCCACGGTCTGGCGAATGGTTAACGTAGTAGGAGGGAATATGTACTAAAAGACCCTCTCAATAAACATGGGTTGGGTAGAAATCAACGTTGTAGGAGGGAATATGTACTAAAGGCCTTACCAGTAGCCACGGGTTGCGGTAGAGTTAACATATAGGAGGCGAGAATTCAGACTGGAAACGCTTAAAATAGTAACGAGCTTGGTGAAAAATAAGTGTAGTAGGGGCCGGGAGAGCACTGACTAAAGACGCGTGCCCGCTATAGTGCGCGATCATTGGAACTACGCTCGTAAATCTTGCGGCGCCTCTCGGCGTTACAAACTGACAACGCTCAGCTTTTACCATGCGCGCCACGTCTCCGTCATATAAATGATTCAAATTGCCAGATTTTCATGGCATTAGCATTTGAAAGTGAGAGATCATGATCGGTCGCTAGCCGGGAGCGAGGCCGCAGCCTCACACAGGTGTCACGCATGCGCGGACGCGTGTATTCTGACTACGGTCCGCAGCAGCGCTGCCATCGCCATCGCCATCGCCATCGACGTCGCCGCCACCGCCGCTCTCGCGAATGAAACACGCGGCCGTTTTGACATTCGCGGATGAGAGTGAGCGCGAATTCCCGAGAGTTAAATGAGCGTTGTGTGTACACGCATGCGCGCACGTACGTGCGTCTGCGTGCGCGCATGCATACACCTGTATGTGTGTATGCGGCGGCGGTTGTGGTGTTATTAGTCGGGCTATTAAACTAATTGCCAAACGCGTGTGCGTGCTAGAAGCGCGATGTTAATGGGGTGCTGCCGGGGTGAGTGTTGTTCATGGACAGGTAAGGCGAGAGACAGTCGGGACAAGGTGCGTGCAGGCTGGACGCCGCGTCGTTGAATAGCGTTTTACGGCCGAAATTGATTTAGGTTCTCTTTAGGTTTGCACACGATGCCTCTCGGCATAGATTGTTTTATTACGCTGATATGCTAATTCGGTCCGCTCTCCATTATGGCTGCGGTTGCCACGGCGACGGCGTCGCACCTTTTATGGCCGACGTAACGCCCGGTTATTTGGTTTGCCAGTGGTTAATAAAACATGGATTACGCGCGCGCGCGTAAGCAGTCGGCAAATGGGATGAGAGAGAGGCGGCGGTGCCGGCTCTGTGTGAGAGCCGCGCGCGCGCTATTTCGCTCTAGAGCTTCACTTCTCATCAAATGGTAATGACGGGCACCGCTGGCGCGCGCGCGCCGCGTGCAGTGTGCCACTTAGCGGCGGGAAATACATGCATGCGAATGTGTCCCACATGCTGCATGAAGTCTAATGCACCGAGCGAAATGTATGATGGCCTCCCGTATATCGCATTTTTAAAGTTTTCCGCCTTTGTTGTTTCGGTAATGTATACGGGTATCAGAATGAGGAGAAAGGCCCGTGGGGACATGGTGTGACTAATGCATTATTCTTTTATCTTCCGAATAGCGCACAATGGCCTTGTCATTTCGAATCACCTCAGTGAGCTTAAATTTATATATTTATTTATTTATTTGACTATCTAAAAGTTTTTGCGGCTTACAAAGAGTCTGAAGACTCATTGAAAACCTAAACTTCAACGGCTAAAAATTGTTAAAAATAAATGCATTCACACGAAATATCTGCGAAAATCACTCACATCAGCATATACCAAGTATATAAGATGGCAGAGAAACGCGGTATAAATGTGCATTTCACAGAAACATGTCAAATCAGTACTTCAAAACGAGTCGTACCGTGCTGCTTCTAATTTACAGTACAGCGTATTTCTACTAATGGGAGCGTTAATTTATTAATGAACTCACGCCACATAGCAGCCAGCGTACATCGCTGCACTCATTGCCCAGCTTAATGCATTAAGAAATAAGCTGCGAACGCGCTTGTGTTTTTTTACGACGGGCTTTATGTAAATTAATTTTGCCTAACTGCCAACTGATTGATGTGTCGGCTGCTTGCAGACGCGACTGCCGAGCGTTGGCGGAAGCCATTACATCCAAGCAGTCATTAAAGTGTTGCGGCGAGATGGTGCAGTGATTTGTCTCGCGGGTGAAAATGCCGCCGCTGCTGCACATAATGTCGGCGACTCGGCGCTACGTGAGCGAGAGTTTAATGAAACCGAAAGTATAAAGTCGTGGCTTGCCATTCAATAATTACCTTCGCATGCCGCCGCTTTTTCTGCGCAACGGTTGGAGCTAGGCGTGTTTGATTCGCACCGGAAAAAATGAGCAGAGATTTTTTTCTCGCTACTTGTCCCGATATTTAGATGGTATTCGAGGAGCAGTAGTAATGCGTCTCGGTTGGAATTTACTGGTTCTTCAGCACGGCTCTGTGATATAATGCGAAGGTTTAAGTCGTAGGAAAAATTCACCTTTAGGGGTATTTATTTGCTTTTGCAGGAGAGAACGGATGTGTTTAATCAGTACAAGATGGCCATGACGGGAGTTCTTCTTAGCACGGTGAGGAAAGTACAGACAGGGTAATGTCTGCTGGCTAATTGGTGACATCGAAAAGAGAGGACGTTGATTTTACGTGATTGACTCAATTTTATACGTGATAAATTACTGCCATTACTAGTTTAAATTAGGCAAACAATTATATTAATTGTTATTAAAATGTAAATTATGTAATTTAATTTCGAAAAAAACTTATTATATAATAACTAATTATAAATAATTTAATTTTTTGCGATAATAATCAATCACGAAAAAGTGTCCAAAAGCACATCATCCCTGCGTTTCTAGCGTTGCTATTTTGCCTGATGAATACCTAGGGTGTGGAGAGGTTAGCACAGGCGATGGAGACATAGAGCTAGGGTGGGTAGCGCGTTAGTGACGAGCAGGTGGGGGTCGTTTGCATGCAGGACGTGGCAGCCAGAGGTCTGGACATGAGGAACATCAGCTGGGTCGTGCAGTACGACCCGCCGGGCGCACCCGCCAACTACATCCACCGCATCGGCCGCACGGCGAGGATCGGCAGCAGCGGCCAAGCCCTCCTGTTCCTCACCCCCGCCGAGGTGAAGTACGTCACCGTACTCAACAACCACAATATCAGGTGAGTTGTCCCTTCCCCTACATACCGGCCACGCCCTCCTGGTCCCCCACGTACCGGCCACGTCCTCCTGGTCCCTCACGTACCGGCCACGTCCTCCTGGTCCCTCACGTACCGGCCATGTCCTCCTGGTCCCTGACGTACCGGCCACGTCCTGGTCCCCCACATACCGCCCACGCCCTCCTGGTCCCCCACGTACCGGCCACGTCCTCCTGGTCCCCCACGTACCGGCCACGTCCTCCTGGTCCCCCACGTACCGCCACGTCCTCCTGGTCCCCACGTACCGGCCACGTCCTGGTCCCCCACGTACCGCCCACGTCCTCCTGGTCCCCCACGTACCGGCCTAGTCTTCTTGGTCCCCCACGTACCGGCCACGTCCTCCTGGTCCTCCACGTACCGCCCACGTCCTCCTGGTCCCCCACGTACCGGCCATGCCCTCCTGGTCCCCCACGTACCGGCCATGTCCTGCTGGTCCCCCACGTACTGGCCATGTCCTCCTGGTCCCCCACGCACCGGCCACGCCCTCCTGCTTTCCCCACGTACCGGCCACGTCCTCCTGGTCTATGCATTGTGGCCAGTGTCTCTATAGTCAGGGTATTTGTGGTTGGTGTGTTTGTGGTCGGTGTGTCTGTGGTCAGTGTTTATATCGTCAGTGTATCTGTAGTCAGTTTATATGTGGTCAGTGTATCTGTAGTCAGTGGGTCTATAATCAGTATATATGTGGTCAGTGTTTATGTGGTCAGTGTATCTGTAGTCAGTGTGTCTATAATCAGTACATATGTGGTCAGTGTATCTGTAGTCAGTGGGTTCATAATCAGTACATATGTGGTCAGTGTTTATGTGGTCAGTGTATCTGTAGTCAGTGGGTCTATAATCAGTACATATGTGGTCAGTGTTTATGTGGTCAGTGTATCTGTAGTCAGTGATCTGTGGTCAGTGTATCTGTATGTGCTTTTGCTAATGCCTGAGTTGGGAAATCAGATAGGCCTGCAGTGACCCACTTGGCCCCTCGCGGCTGCGCTATTACCATGCCGCTACTAATGATCTCATGCATGTTTAATTAGCATTTTATTAATTGCGCGTCGGCTAACAAAGCAGCCGGACAATGAGAGAGGGGCACGGGATCCGGATTGCGAGGACGGACAGTCCGGCCCGATCGCAGCAAAACCAAGCGAACATGCTTCACGCGCTTGTGCGTTTTATTCATTAGTAATTCGCAGTTTTGCATGGCGCTGTGGAGCGTTTTCTCTTAATCGGAGCGCTTGCCGGCTCACTGTGTTTACAACAGCTGTCGACAGGAAGCTGGCGGGAGGGGGAGCTGATCCCGTATCATCCCCTAAATCAGCTGCGAAGAGAACAGGAGTGAGGGTGAGAGAGAGGTAGATAGAGAGAGAGAGAGAGAGAGAGAGAGAGAGAGAGAGAGAGGCGGAGAGAGAGAGAGAGAGAGAGAGAG